GGTTTCCTCCCCCAGTCCAAACACATACGTTGTAGGTTGATTGGCATTTCCAAATTGTCCATAGTGTGTTATTGTTCCCTTGTGCCCCAAGTTCCCTGGGATAGGCTCCAGGCTTCCCTGCAACCCTGTGTATGGTAAGCGGTACAGAGAATGGATGGATGGATATATAATGTAAGTGATTCCCATGAAAGTATGAACTAACTGCTGAGTTGCAACCTTTTCTAGGATCTTAGAGAGAGGTGTGATATTGGCCTATAGTTTGACAGCTGATGAGGTTCGAGGTAGGGTTTTTTACTCAGTGGTATAACTGCTTATGCTGTTTATACCAAGATTTAGGTACTTAACCAATGCTAAGTGAGGAGTTCTATTATTATGACTTTATTTTTCTCCACTTGGTTATTCTGGCTTTATCTTTAATTTGTCACTAATGTGTGTGTATATTAGTGGATGACACCTAATTCCATGTGAGTAAATGATATATGTTACTGGTGATGTCACAGTACATGACTTTGTTGATCTCAAATTGTGCACAGGCTTACATGGACTATTGATTAGTCACCGTATCTATTATCACTAGTGATTACAGATGTTACATTCATATTGTATTTTTTTGTCTATTATTTTAACAATTCAAAAATAATTTTCTGCTTTTGAAATTGAGTTTCTAAATTTTTTTTGTTTCCATTTTTTCTTATCCAGAAAGGAATAATGTTCTGTTACAAGTCGTCTCCTGCTTCTTTTGTCCAATTTCATACACCTCTTGACCTGACCACCACAAACACATCAAGAGATGGTACTGCTTCAGAAAGGCTTCAGATATCTGGAGAAATCAAATCTGAGAGCCTGTCCCCAGTAAGTTGCAGCAGTCAGTCTGTTTCTCTCCTCTCCAAGAGCTCACCCAAACTAACGTGGAAAAAAATCCACCACTGCTCAGACTGTGGGAAGAGTTTTGCTAGACTGGGAGACCTCCAAAAACACCAGAGAATTCACACTGGAGAGAAACCATATCAGTGCTCAGTGTGTGGGAAGAGTTTTACTCAAGAGAGTAATCTCCAACAACACCAGCGCGTTCACACAGGAGAAAAACCGTACCACTGTACATGGTGTGGAAAGAGTTTTACTCATCAGCAGAATTTCCAAACGCATCAGCGAATTCACACTGGAGAAAAACCATATCAGTGCTCACAGTGTGGAAAGAGATTTACTCGTAAGAATGCTGTACAACGACACCAGCGCGTTCACACAGGAGAGAAACCGTATCACTGTATGCAGTGTGGGATGAGTTTTAGTGAGAGTGGTACTCTCAAAGAACACCAGCGACTACACACAGGAGAGAATCTCTTTCACTGCTCAGAATGCGGGAAGAGTTTTCATCAGAAGAAAACTCTACAAGGACATCAGCGCACTCACACCGGAGAGAAGCCATATTTCTGTACCGAGTGTGGAAAGAGTTTCAGTCGGATGAATACTCTACAGCAACACCACCGCATTCACACAGGAGAGAGGCCGTTTCAGTGTTCAGAGTGTGGACAGACTTTTGCTCAACAAAGTACTCTCCACCGACACCAGCACATTCACACCGGAGAGAAACCGTATCACTGCTCACTGTGTGGGAAGAGTTTTAATCGCAAAAATAGTCTACAACTACACCAGCGTCTTCACACAGGAGAGAAGTCCAGCACTCAGGAGATATACTAGGGAACTTCACAGTAAACACTGACAACTCATAGCTTGTTCAAAGGGAATATATTTGTAGCATACCTGTCAAGTCGCATAGTTCAGTTTTTTTGCCTTTATTGTGGTCTCACATCTCATGTTTTTTTTTTCCACACTCAAAGCCACACTCATACCAACAAAAAAATTTGTTTCACAAATTACTGCTCTGTTGCAGAGTGTCATCACAGAAACAACCGTTTCCTGGTTAGCTCCACCTAGCTAAGCTGGCCATTTCACATGTCAAGTTAAAGTTCATTGTGCACACAGTCTACATCTCCAACAGTGGATAGCAATTAGATACATGACAAAATTTCCTGCTGAAGTGAGAGTTCGGTTTTCTGCACAGAGAAAACTGGGGGAAAATTGTAAAGTGTGTAGGCGTTATGTAAACACTCAGGAGTGTTTGACGCTAAAATAAAAGAATGAAGAGTATGGGGACTGACACACTCACTGGACTGCTGAAATGGAAATTAATTAGTGTCACAATACTGTGATAACTCCATTAATGCTCAAGAGATGCTTTATATAAGCAAAAAAATGTTTGAAAAACAGTCATTCCTAGATTAAAAAGACAACAATAACAATAAAAGGAAAAGCATGGACAACCTTTTCTTGGGGTTTCAGCACAACTCAATATTTTTACCAAATTTTACAAGGTTTCCATCACCCATCTCCATATTTCCTTTATGGTTAGACTGGCAGGTATGTATGTTGTAGATATGATCAGCTGGCAGAGGAATCAGGAACAGTACATTAGTTGTAGATCACTGCATAATTTCAGCCCACCCTCATGTGCTGTGAGTCTTTATACAGTCGCTGTATTCCTCCTGTTTATCATAAGGCTGTTTTTTCATTTGCTGGTCACTGATTTTCATGCAGTGTTGTTAAATAAATAGATTTGCATAAACAATAAACACGGTAGAATTTTATGTGGTACAATTAGGATGTTTTTGTTGAATCATGCATTTCATTCATTGAAACAGACAGTTTGACAGAATCTGCTCCGTAACTTGAAGGACACAAGGCGCTTAAAAAAACTCTAAATGATGCCTCCTTGATTCGTCAACTTGTCAAAGTCTGACATTTTCAAGAGAATGCGTTAAGATGCATGGGCTTATAAGGAGAGATCTTAAAGGACTCCCATGATACGAGATTCTGCAGTAGGTGCTCGGGGAAGTGTAGCGTATGAGGACCCCATCGAAAGGTTTTTAACAAGTTTAGGAGTTCCAGCAATGCATGCATGGTGCTGTCGATGCATCAGTGGAAGCAAAGGATTTGCGGGCCACTTCGGGAAAACAAGCAGGCCTGCTGACCTCTGTGCATGGAGTGGAGTTGGTAATAGAGGTAGAAATATCCAGATCTGGGTCCATTGTCCCATCCTGGCCAGTGAGTTAAGTACAGCCAGGCTAACCAGAGGAGTTTTTACCACCCAATCTCATACCACCCTGGTGATTAATACATCTGACCATCATCAAATTGCCTGCACAAACATGATCTGCACTGAAGGGCCATCAGAAGGAAACTTTACCTGCAACCTCATCACAGAAGTGAACATCTGATGTATGAGAAACAACTTCTAGATAAATCAGAGGCATTTGGGAAACAAGTGCTGTGAACTGATCAAGTAAAACAGAACTCTTCATGCACAATGGACAAAGGTATGTTTGGAGAAAAAAAAGGCAGTGTTTGAGGAAAACAACATCCTGCCAGCTGTTAATCATGGGGATGGATCTATTCTGGCAGTGACACAGCCAGTGACACAGAAAACAGTGCACAGGTAGATGCAAGAATGGATTCCAGTAAATATCAGCAAATTCTGGAAGCAAATGTGACTCAGTCAGTCAAAAGTGTCAGAAACATTCCTCAAAATCCACCATGAACTTCTGCAAGAAATGCAGGCTGAAGCTTCTGGAATGGCCCTCACAATATAATGACTTGAACATAATTGAAAATCCGTGTGTGCTCCTGGTTTTGAGATAAGAATATCTCAAAACCAGAAGCATTCTGCAAGGAAGAGTGGGTGCAAATTCATTAAACAAGAATAGAAAGACACCTAACTGGCTAAAAAAAACATCTGTAAGCTGATATCTGCCAATGGGAGTGTTACTAAATACTGACTTAGTAGTGTTTAATTTTTCCCAGAATTGTTAATTTCATAATATGTAAAGTAACTGTGCATTAATATTTGCAGAAAAATGTTAATGTTGTTGTTGTTGTTTTTAATGGTTTGCTGAAGAGGTTGTTTTATTTCTCTTCTTCTATTTCCAAAAATCAACAAAACATGTAATTTGGGCAGGGGTGCCCAAACTTTTGCATACAACTGTAAATTTTAAGGTTTTACATGAAGTGTTAGAACCTTGAGTTTGTCAAGTAAAAAAGCATAGCATTTTTACCAGTTGTGGGATTTTTAGTTATTCTTATGTCTTTAGGTCTAAAATAATCGTGTCCTCTCTGCTGTCTATATTTTAGTGTCCAGAGTTGAATGTTGATTTAATAAATAAAGCTTTGCCTACTTTATTAATGCGACATTACTACAAATAATTTACAGTGAGAGCCTAAATAAAGAAACTACAAGTATGGATACATTAATAAAGTAAAAACAGGCCAATGAAACAAACTGAATCCTGTGGAAAATGAACTGAGAAACAAAAGACTTGTATCTAAAACCTTAACGGACCTCCAGGAAAACAATGGGCAAACACTGGTGCACAGATTGTGTTTGTTAATTAAATAATTAATTAAATAATGTTAATTCTATCATTTGGCTATGCTCTAAAATGGCTGACGTTAACATGAATTGTAGTTTTGCCATCTCCAGGGAGAACATGCACATTTCATTGTTAGCAGCTCTGTTCCTGCCTGCCTGAGTGATGATTCCACAAAGCTCCACTAGGTGGTGGTATGAGCGTCCGCTTCCCAATCCACCATGTTGTTGTTGTTCTTTCGGCTGGTCCCATTAGGGGTCGCCAGAGCGGATCATTGGTCTGTGTATTTGATTTGGCATAGTTTTTACGCCCGATGTCCTTCCTAACACAACCCTTCCCAATTGGATCTGGGCTCAGGACCGGCACTGGGAGTGCACTGACGTCTGGTTGGTTCCCTGACAGGGAATCGAACCTGGGCCGTGGCATCAAGCGCACCAAGGCCTAACCACTAGTCCTCCAGGGACCCACTTCTCAAGCCACCGTAAACTCATGGAAATAGAAGAAGACGAGCTGCAGTTTTCCCATCTGACTGTGCAGTCTTTTCATGAAAATATTTGTGATAAAGGTTTAATCCAACAGCTGAACAGAATTAAAAACAGAAGCTTGTTGTGTACGTATTTGAGAAATTAACGCCTTTCTGATGTGAAGTTAAACTCAGTCTTCTTACCTGAGCTGCTAACTGTTAGTGCCTAAATGCGCACATACGTACTTACTGATTGATTGATTTTGAGTTGTTTATTTAAAAGTCAGAAATTTGCTGCTGACTGCTAGGAACATTTGTTTTTTTAAATGTGAGCTTTAAACTTTATCTTTCATTTGCTATTAAAGAGTAGCATTAGGATAACATATTTATGAGATATTATTAACTTTATTCAAACATCTAGATTAATGAATGATCTGTACCTGAAATTAAGGTGTTTAGTTAAAGCTAGGATAGTCTCCCATAAGTTTCCAGTGTTCTATAAACTCTTCTCAGGAGTAAGTAGCTAATGCATGCTCAAAAGGTTGCTAGAAGTCACCAGATGGCGTCATGTTAACTTATGTGTTCACTGAATTGTCAATATCATTTGCATATCAAAAACTGTCACATGAAGAAGAAAGTTTTTGGAAAACACATAGAATAGAACCAGTTTCTTATAGAAAGAAGTCTTCGGTCACAGCACCAAAAAAATCACTCTCTACATAATTCTCTAAGTTCTATCAAGAATGCAGACAGGATGAATTTGTGGTAGTGAGGAATCGGAAGTGGACACGAAGGAAATGGTTATGGATGATGTTACCCAAACTTATTACTGTAAACATCACCAAGGAGAGAGGTTAAAACCAGCAGCAAAACGTGCACTGGCGGAGAAAAACGGTGATCAGTGATTGGTCATTAGGGGAAACTGGTGGTCAGTGATTGGTCTATGGGAACAGTGGTGGTCAGTGATTGGTCATTGGGGGAAACCGGTGGTCAGTGACTGGGCTATGGGAACAGTGGTGGTCGGTGATTGGTCATTAGGGGAAACCGATGGTCAGTGATTGGTCTATGGGAAGAGTAGTGGTCAGTGATTGGTCTATGGGAACAGTGGTGGTCAGTGACTGGTCACCGGAGGAAATTAGTGGTGATTGGACTTTGGTTTTACACACTCGTGATGAATAGAGTGAATCTACTCGTTCTTATTAGCAGCAGCTGTGATGTGAGCTGGAGAACAGAAATCTGCAACCAAACGACATGGATAATATAGAGATGCAGAACAGGTGACCAGTCTCATTGCCAGCCAGTCTGAGCGACTGAAGCATCTCCATGGTTATCGCATGATGTTTGAAAGATGCCACCTAAATGGTTTGTGGCTTTTTTTTTTTTTAATTATTTTTTGCTTTGTAGGCCTGTTTCATGTCATGAACGCACATACCACAGTTCCATTATCGCACGTTGTTTGCACCTCATTGTTCCTTTTCCTTGCTTCCCTTCCTCACTGCTTCACTAATTCCTCAGAGGAAGCAGAGAAAGGATGCAAATAAAACAAACCATGTTAGATGTTATTATACACTGAAACATCACTTTAAAGGGACTTTTAGTGAATTCTCTTATTGATGTTGTTTCCCAGCTGCATTATCTGTATAACAGATCTGCATTTAAAGCACGGTGATCACACACTGAATTAACTTCCATTAAAACATTATTGCATGTGTACAAAACATTATCACGTGCTTACATGTTAATGTTTTAGCCTCTACTCATCACCTGACTTCAAGGCAAATTCACTGAGATTTGTGCATTTTATTTGAGAGCATTGATTATTTATTTAAATGTAAAATTTTTTGTGGTTTTGTTTATAGTTTAATTTATTTATAGTTCCACATACACTGTATTGCCAAAAGTATTGGGACACCCCTCCAAATCATTGAATTCAGGTGTTCCAATCACTTCCATGGCCACAGGTGTATAAAATCAAGCACCTAGGCATGCAGACTGCTGCTACAAACATTTGTGAAAGAACGGGTCGCTCTCAGGAGCTCAGTGAACTGCAGCGTGGTACCATGAGAGGTTGCCACCTGTGCAACAAATCCATTCGTGAAATTTCCTCACTACTAAATATTCCACGGTCAGGGTTAGTGGTATTATAACAAAGTGGAAGCAATTGGGAACAACAGCAACTCAGCCACGAAGTGGTAGGCCACGTAAAATCACAGAGAGGGTCAGCGCATGCTGAGGCGCACAGTGCGCAGAAGTCGCCAACTTTCTGCAGAGTCAATAGCTACAGACCTCCAAACCTTGTGTGGCCTTCAGATTAGCTCAAGAACAGTGCATAGAGAGCTTGATGGAATGGGTTTCCATGGCCAAGCAGCTGCATCCAAGCCACACATCACCAAGTGCAATGCAAAGCGTCGGATGCAGTGGTGTAAAGCACCGCCACTGGACTCTAGAGCAGTGGAGACGCGTTCTATGGAGTGATGAATCACGCTTCTCTGTCTGGCAATCTGATGGCCGAGTCTGGGTTTGGAGGTTGCCAGGAGAACGGTACTTGCCTGACTGCATTGTGCCGAGTGTAAAGTTTGGTGGAGGAGGAATTATGGTGTGGGGTTGTTTTTCAGGAGTTGGGCTCGGCCCCTTAGTTCCAGTGAAAGGAACGTTGAATGCTTCAGGATACCAAAACATTTTGGACAATTCCATGCTCCCAACCTTGTGGGAACAGTTTGGAGCGGGCCCCTTCCTCTTCCAACATGACTGTGCACCAGTGCACAAAGCAAGGTCCATAAAGACATGGATGACAGAGTCTGGTGTGGATGAACTTGACTGGCCTGCACAGAGTCCTGACCTCAAACCTTTGGGATGAATTAGAGCGGAGACTGAGAGCCAGGCCTTCTCGACCAACATCAGTGCCTGACCTCACAAATGCGCTTCTAGAAGAATGGTCAAATATTCCCATAAACACACTCCTCAACCTTGTGGAAAGCCTTCCCAGAAGAGTTGAAGCTGTTATAGCTGCAAAGGGTGGGCCAACTCCATATTAAACCCTACGGATTTGCCATTAAAGTTCATGTGCATGTAAAGGCAGACGTCCCAAAGCTTTTGGCAATATAGTGTAGGAAGCACCTGTGTATCCTCGCTCTAAAATCTTCCTCTCTCTGTCTTAATTAATGATGCCTGATTTCAACTGATTTCCGGGGGCACATGTTGGATACATGCAGGTTATGGATGTACTGAGCTTACCTTTACTTCTTTCTTGGCTGTGACAATGTTGAAAGAAGAAACTCTCATACAAGCAAATACACAGTGGAATAAATTCATATACGGTTATTAGTTCTAAATAAACTCGAACAAACAGGAGAGAGAAGGGTTTAAGTAAGGAAGTCAGTTTATTCCATAATCACAAACTTTAAATACTTTGTATAGATTTTAGTAATGATTTACTAAACTATCCATATTAGAGACCAGAGCATTCTGTGAGGCTGATACCAGTGGATGATTAGACTGATGTACTGTCAGTTAAAATAATTTCTGAAACCAACTCACATCATGCTTCCAGTCTTAAATATTTTAAAATAGACCTTCTGCCAGAAATAGCGGCAAGTTAAACGATTGTTGCAATGCAAGCATACTACATACTGTAATCTCACTGACGTGGCGTCTCTCAGATGCGACGTCTCGCTGGCGTGGCGTCTCTGAAATTCTTTGTTTTGCTTCCCCTACGAGGCACAAAATTAAAACTACACAAATAGCACTGACAGGTTTCAGTGCACAATTCTTTTTCCTTTTAACCCTCAGCACACACAGCAAGATCTGACTCGCATGTTTTGGGTCAACTTGCCAAACTGGTCAGATAAAAGAAATATGGACCGATCACTGATCCCATATTTAGTCCAATTGGCCTAATCTGGCCAATTCCAATCTAAAACCTTTTGTAATTGAAATCTTCACAAATTAAATGCTAAAATTCAAATACACGTTCTTGATGTTTGTGTAATTATCTATAGGCTGTGCATTCGTATACATATAAATGAAGTTTTTCCCACTGAGGTCACTGAACGCACCGATGGTGTTGGAGTTGACTATTGCGATTGAAACTCTTCCCGCACTCACAGCAATGAAACGGTTTATCTCCAGTGTGAATGCGTTGGTGTTGTTGTAGAGTGCTTTGTTGAGTGAAACTCTTTCCACACTGTGTGCAGTGATACGGTTTC